GATCATTCCCTTGAGTACGTAGGAGCAGGATTTGGGTCTGAAATGTTGCTGAGGTGCAGAAATGAGAGAGACTGGGATACAGTCCTGGACAACAGGTTGCTTGCTCTGCATTGAATACATAGGAAGTCACATATTGGTACAAACACCAAAGCGAGCCCATTTCTTCACAGTGTGAAGGCCACCAGGACAGGAAGCAAGGGTTGCACGAGCTAAAGCAGAACCTTGGCTGTGGCTTTGCTTGAGCTCTTGAAGGGCTGCAGCTGAGCGCTCTGACAAGGGGGCTACGTGACCCGGTGTGTCAAGGGCTGTCGCATCTCCCGCGTTGCCTCTCATTGCAGGAAATGGCTTCTGCTCTTGCTGTTGGGTGCACTTGTGTTGAATAAGCTCTGTATTATCAGGGTCTTGTTCTGCTTAGGGCAAAAGAAACCTTTGCTTGGGCAGGTGTAACATTATTCAGATCAAGAAAACTACACTCTTTGATCCCAAAATTTATCTAGCCAGCTCCATCTCTCAGGGCTCACAGTCCCACTAAGCTCTCAGAGTGAGAAATTCTCCCTGTAGTACAGGGATAGAGCAGGATCTAAATTTTGTTAAGAAAAAAACTTTGTTTTGAAATGTTTTCTGGACAAAGCATTTCTCCAGAAGCACATTTGTTCTCACACCTGCAGAAGGAAGTATTTTAGTAATGTGCATATTAATAGGAGACACAAGGTTCGCTTGTGGTGACGCTTTCGTGTTTAAGGACTCACAAGAMGTGAAAGAACTATGTCCTGAATAAGCTTAGGGAAGGAACAAGCAGGTATATTTTGAAAGAAACAATTCTATGTGTCCAAACTCTTGACAACATCAGATTTTGCAGCAATGCAGCTGCTTAAAAGGGTGCAGACTTGCCCTTTGCTGAACTTTCTGAATTTCCAATTTTTATTAAATCTGCTGTATATCTTTCTTTTTTTAATATTGTGTGCCAAAACATTAACTTGGCCTCAGGTGAAGGTGATTTGAATGAAATCAGGTAATAACGAGATAAYTGGGTAACAACAGGGCAGGCTCCCGAGCCTGTTATAAATTGGAGCACAGAAGAGGCACTCAGGGCTGTCTGTAGAGGAGCTTAAGGCCATATTTCTTTGTGCAGCCTTGAGCAACTGAGGACTGAGAGCTTCATGGGCCAGAGGGAAAGGTAAGAGAGAGAGAAAACAAATCAGTGCTTTATTGCTTTTGTGCTTATTGTTACCTCCCTTGTTTTTATGGAAAAAGGTAATGGTCTACATGCTGTTGCTTTCTATGTGCTTCTTCTGGTTCTGCATAATCAGGTGGTTGCTGTTACTGTTATTTTTTTAACTCTGTAACTACGTTCCTTGGGGCAGCAGTGACTGCTAAGAGGAAGCAAAGAGGAGCCAGATTCCATAATCTTCTTGCAGAAAGAGTGTTCCCTCTCCTGTAGCTAAACCAGTAAATGCTTTGTAGAGCTAGCACTGTGTGGAGCAACCTTTGCATGGAGGCAGAACTTGCTCTYGGGCTCTGCAAGAGCGAGTGCTGCATGGCTTGGCTCTGTGACACCTGGTAGCAAGCTCCTCTGCCTACAGAGTTGCRCTAAAAAAGAAATGTGACTTTGCTGGTTTTGTGCTGCTGTTGCTGTGCGCTCTTTATGGAGAGCGCTAGCATCTGATGCTGGAGGTTTATTTGTTTTTAGGTCCTGCTTCTTCCTTTGAGAGAAATGATTTTTGTCAAATTAAAAGCATTCTGCGTGTTGTCTGTGACCAGAAGTCAAATGGTTTCTTTGACTTTCCTTTTGGGAAGGCTTAAGTTGAAGTCATTAACTTAATTTCAGCCATTTCAGCTGCTTCAGACATTTTTTAGACTGTATTCTTTTTTGGTCAGAAAAATTATGCCCAAATACTCCCCAGGGTCAACAAAAGTGCAGAAGAAGATTATAATAAAGGTCAGTGGAGACAAGGTTCTTGTGATCTGATGAAATCTCCATGTCATTAGGGAGTGTGCTGTCCTTCCGCATCTATTGGGCCATGCGGAAGCTGTTCGCTGGCAGTGCCCTGACAAAGTGTGAAGGCTGGTGCAGACTGCAACATCTTTCTGACTTTGTGTGGTGAAAAAGGTGTGATTTTTAGTTAGGGGGGTGTTTTTCTCTGTTTATTTGAATTTTTTTTTTTTTTTGCACTGATGCCTGCTGGTGTGCCCCAGAGTAGGACATCTTTCTGAAGTTATTGTAAATATTACTGTGGGCAGTTGCCTGAGGTGTATCCCCAGGAGGGAAAACTCAGAAGGCTCGTGACCCAAGATACACTGAGGTTGTCCTCAATATAGCCRTACTACATGCAGATAGAGAGCAACTTGTAACAGCAATTCCCTCTAATTCTTTTAAAATGTCTATATATACACATCTCTGAAAGAGAATCCTCCTTTAGAAAGGAGCTAAAAGGGTTAAATATGCATAGACAACAAAAGGAAGAGTCTGAACAGATTCTTTGCATTGTTTTTCACTACCCAATGATTACTCTAGGATGTTTTCACAGTGCTCTTTCTACAGGATTTAATGAGGCTTTGGCCTGAGGAAAGGAGTGTTTGCCCTGGACTCCTTCAGTTCATGGGAATAGAGAACAAGATGATAAAATAGTTGGGAACATAAAAATGAGGCTTATGCAGAGAGTTGCATAATGTTTGCAAGTGTGTAGGGAATTTGGAAGTCATGGATGGCAAGCAACCTTGTGACGTTTTTATTAGTATTCCCAGAGCACTTCAAGGTGTGTGGCCAGAGCTTCTGCATCCATAACTTGATGATCCTAGCAAAGGAAAATGTGCTACCCTACCTTGAATTCTTTTGCTATCTCATGCTAAAAGCAAGAGGAAGAAGTTTGTTTCTTCCAGGCTGTCCCCTCTCAAAGCTGAGCTCTTTTGGGTAACTTGAGATATGTCATAGCTGTCCTAAAGTGATGCCCAGCCTCACTGCTGATATGCTTCCTTCAGAAGCGGATGCTCCAGTGTGTACTCGAGGGATCAGCAATTAAAGCAGCCTGTTCAGGTCAGAAGCAAACTCTGAATTATTTCAGTTTGCAACTGAAGAGCCCTTGAAAGCATCAGCTACTTCCTTCCTGGGCTGGGGGTGTCATTTCAGATCCGCTTACTTGGATGATGAGCTCGGAAGTCACAGACTCTTCTGCTGAATCTTCTCTGCTCTGGCTACATCCCAGGCCCTGAGGAGACATGGGCTCCGGTGGGAGCTGCTGGACCCTCTGCTCCTTCCTGCTGCTGCTTGGTGAGTCTGGGTGGGGGAAAAGAGCGGGAATCTCCTTGGAGCTACAACCAGCTCCCACTGAACATCTAGCTTCTGTACAAGAAAAGGGGCTATGGAGGGTGTCCCCTTTTTTGGTTTGTTTTTGATGTAGCTATAGGGCTTGCAAGGTCACTTTAGCTCTGGGGAAACATGTTCACTGTGATACAGAAAAAATTTTAACATGCATTGCTGGTGCTCTTAGTTCCAGAGGAACTTTTTTCTGCAAGGATGTGCTGGGAGATGGGTTTTTGGAGAGACTGGATCAGTGTGGGTTGAGGCTGCACAGCAGGCTTGGACTCGTGGCATGCCCAGCACTCAGCCTTGGCTGCGTCATCCTGGTCTCTTTGGCAAAGGACGCAGGGAGAGAACTGTGACCTGGGGCTGTGTCTTTCCCAGGCTCTCTCAGTACCATCTAATACCAAATAAGAYGTTTTTGGCTGGTGTTTGCACTAGGGTAGTAGTGCCCAGGAGGCACAGGGCATGAACTGCATTAGGGAGGGAGGAACTCACCTGAAGAGTTCTTAGTTACTCCAGGGGCATATCTGAGTAACTGGCTTCTCTTTCTTCACCCTCATTGGGACTGCTGCTGCTCTTGGGACTGTCAGGCACTGAATGTGCACCATGTTAGCAAGCTCTGGGACAAAGGTTCTTTGGGGCTGGTTGCTGTCAAAAACTATAAAATAGTGAGTTTGAGATGTCTTTTGGGTGGCCTCAGTATTTCCAACCAGTTGGCAGTCTTTACTTTGTGTACACTTAGTGCTGCCTGATACAGCACTAAACAGGCTACTTGCTGTAGAATAGACATGGAATATTGATAGAGATCTACCCAATGCTACATTGCTGATGTGTCTCTCCTATCCATTGTAGGAGGAAACCTGGCTCTCATTGCTGAAATCCCTCAGGATTCACTTCAACGCACTGTGGGCCGGTCTGTTCTCCTGCCAGTTTCCTACAAATTCACCAGCTCCTCTCGCTTCCCGCTGTCAATTCAGTGGACCTTCAATAACAGCTTGGACCCACTCATCAGCTGCACCATGCAGAACTGCTCCCTGAGTGCTGACGGGGCTCCCAAGAATTGCTCTGCAAGCCATTACCAACATTCCCAATACTAGGATCGTGTTGTGCTTTTCCCTGAGAACGCATCCTTGCTGCTCCAGGACCTGCAGCTCAGCGACAGCGGGGTGTACAGMGTCACCTTCAAACAGCAGATCCTAACCAAGAACATCACCTTGACTGTGTACAGRCTGCACTTCACTTCTGAAGGAGACAACACCTGTAAGTGCTAAGCTGAAGATATTCCCAGCTCTGACCTTGGTTGAGCTCTACCTGGGTGAAATATAGGTAGGAGCAAGAAAGGGAAGCTCTATTCTATAGGGGGTCAGATGATTCAGAGGTGCCCCTGCTATGCAAGTGCTAAGTGTCCTCAGCTCTTGGCAAGATTTGGTGGTGACACCAAAGGGTCTGTGACCATGGTATGCAGGGAGCAGCAAGTGAAGGTGATGGGGCTGCTCTGCAAATGGGAGTCCAGCTTTTCATGTGGAAAGCATCCTGTGATCACTGAGCACCTTGGCTGATCGATCACCTGCTAAACTTGTCCCCAGGGGCAAGGCTCTGCTATTATATTCACTAAAGAAAAATATGCTTTTTGGTAATTTAGCCAATTGACAATGATTGCTTTGTACCACAGTCACGCAAAGTCTTTCTACAGATGTGTTATTAATAATGGCCTGCACTGCTGGGGGCTGTGTCACCTTGTTCCTCCTGCTTTTCCTGCTCTACTGCCTGGGGCATTTTGGTAAGTAGATCTGTCTCATGTTCKGTGGCTGTAGCCTTGAAAGATATATGACCAGAGGAGCCATGTTTTGCTGTTTGTCCTCAGAATGCTTCTTTTAAACCTCCTCTAAAATCTGGTTCTCTAAGCCCCTGGATGAGATCTGATGTAGAGGAGAACTCACAGACTGCTCGAGAGATTTTTCAYCTTTAAGATACTCAGTGTGACTTTTTCAGCATAAAGATAGCTTATCTTTTCTCATCTCAAAGACTTATGAGAGGAAAAAGGTAAGGAGATGCATGTTTTCTCCAAAGATTCATTGCTTTACAGGTTCACTGAGACAGATTGGTCCTACTAACACCATGATTTTGAAATAACATGTTTTTATTATACTCTAAGGAATTCTTAGAGATGTTGACTTGAAAGACAGGACATCATACTCTGAAGTAGAGATTTCCCTCAGTGTCTTAAAGAGATCATATAAGCTGTGCTACCTAGGAACAAGAGGTTACATTTATCGTGCAGATAGTGTGTATGGTTGTCAAATATTGATAAATACCAATCAATCTTTTACAGGTACAATTCTTCTGAAGAGAGATAGAGCTATAAAGCAGCAAGAGGTATGGTACAAAGGAAATGGTATCGGTAATGGGGGTGATAATTGATTCTAATAACAGTTGTCAATTATCTATAAGTTGGTATCTGAGTATTGAAGTATTAAGTGAGCTTGTTCTATTGGGAAAGCAACCAGTCACCAGGACTGGTTGTTCTTTAACCTGATGATTCATCATCTAGACTTCTGTTAGGCTTAAATTTCTTGATACTATATCTTTGCAAAGGCTTTGAATTAGATTCTTTTGTGTTCCTATTGCAACACAAATCCAAGTAAAGAGCCCCATGTACTACCTGGAGCCAGCAGTCTGCTGAGAGAAGGCAAGTACAGCTTTGCCTTTTTGAGGACTAGCCTTACAAGATAATGTTTTTGCTAAGTATTGCTGCTGGGAGCTGTCAAGCTGAGTAAAGCAGTGGAAGAAGAGCAAGCAGTAAGAGGCTAAGGTCATAGAAGAGGCTAAATGGCTCTCACTTCAGCTTATATACGTGAACGCACAGGGGCCAGTGGCCAACAGGGGACACRTTCTGTCTGTCCTTTTCCAGTGAGCTGTCTGGAGAAAACCTTCTTTCTTTCCCATTTCTCTGTCCTTACCTAGACCCCCAGTCATGATGAGCTCCACATGGAGAACCAGCTGGGAAAGGATGTATGCACAGTTTGAGCTGCTTGGTAATAACCAGACAGAGGCCAGAGCAATGCYGGAAGCTGAACACGTGTCTGTAAATATCAGAAACATTGTCTAACACAAAGGACTGTGGTGCCTGGACTGTGATCCTTCTGGTCAGGGACTGAGGGGGTGTCTAGCATTAGGCCTCCATGACCCATCTAAGAAATAAATCAGAGTATCAAGCAGGAAACTCCTGGAAATGAATAGGACATCTTCACCTATGTTGCCTCTGCTCCTGGGGATGCTGTGTGTGATCTGTTTTGGTCGGTGACCCTGAACCTGCCATTGGCAAGGAAGGTGGGAACTGGAGCTTCTGAACATAAGCTGCAATTATGAACTTGTGATTCCATTAATACAGTTTTTTACCTTTTTTCCTAAAGCATCCGAGTCTACAGATGCCAGGCAGTGGACATGTGGAGTTGGGAGCCCTTTCTGATCACAGAAGGGGGCATTATGGCAATCCCAAATACTTTGGAAAGATAAATCTATAGGATTTCTCTTTGAGAAGAACTAACTGAAAGTACAGCATGCCAAGTGCATGGTACTTCCSCTGTACCAGGTTCTACAGAGGTTCTACATGCTGTTTGGACTGAAATGTTGTTGTTTCTATTTCTTGTGACTGTACCATGTGCCACTTTGCTTAGAAATGTGCTGGTGATGACACTTGGGTTCCACAAAACCTTATCAATGGATTCTTGTTACTTTTTTTAAAAAAAAGGATCCCCAATAAGAGCATTTTTTGGGAGACACCTGAGAGGAAACAAGTCCCAAGCATTCTTTCCTCTGCTGGGAAAGGCAAACTGAATGCATGTCTGACCTGCAGCTATAAAATAAGGCAACTTTCACATAATTATCTGCTAAAATTCTGATGCCTTAAGGAAAGGGAGAAGACTGCTCATTCCTGCTGGTTTATGGAGCCTCGAAAGAATAACCCACCACAGCTCAGCTGTAATAGGTACGGCATTTTGATCTGGAAAGGTTAATTCTCCTACAGGCTGCTGTGTGCACCACTTGGTACTTCAGAGCTTGTCCATGTGCTGCAAACTATTCCTAGTTCTTCCCCGAACATGCCTGGAGGCAGGGTGGTTGGAGTGGGATGTGACTTGTGATGGTTTTGCAGCTGTGGGTTCCAGCCGGCTGCGCAGCCAGGCCCTGTTGTGGACCTGCTCCCCCAGTACTCATGCAAACTTCTCCTTCATGGTCACGAAGCTCTGAACAGCAGCAACCACAAAGTTTGAGTCAGTGCTGCTCTACTGAGTAACTGAGAGGGTAGATTTCCCCTAAACAGGACTGTTTGCATGTCAGGGTTGTCCCATAGCACCTGGACTTGGAGCTTATGCTCATCCTTCCCAGGTGCAAGTCTCCAATATTTASCACAGAGCACAGAAGGGGCAGGCAGGAGCCTGCCCAGCACAGTGATGCCACCTCTGCACTTTCTTCTTGGGCCTCACATGGGGAGAAGCAGCCCGAGAGCCTCCTCTGAGCTCTGCTGGGACCTGCCAGCAGCTCTTGTCCACCTKCATGCCTGCCCCAGGCAAGGAAAGGGGATTATTTACTTTCCCTCATGCAACCAGTGAAGGCTTAGCCTCGCTGCTCTGCAATRGGCTTGACTTTCCTTGGATTACCCATTCTGGAAGGGTGTTTTGGCAAGCAGTTTCCCCTAGCTGAATATCCGTGGAGGCTACGGGCTCACTTGAGGAGCAGCTGCTGTGTTTCTTTGGGAGCCCGTGGGCTGAGCAGGGCTGGTCTCTGGCCTGGGGCTCCGTCATTCCTCAGCTCACGCTGCAGGCATTGAGCTGCATGAAAGGTGCTACTGCAGAGCACAGGAAGAACGTGTTGACTCTTGCACGCTTGCAAATGCAACCTGCAGCGCAGAGTGGAGRCTAAGGAGAGTCAGCAACTTCCTCCCAAGCTGAGGCAACGTTTCAGAGGTGCTCGCTCGCTACCTCAGCAGAGACCTTGGCCAATGCTGCTGGAGCAAGGAGTGGTTACCTCCCCTGAGCTGGTGGTGAGCGACCCCGCGCCAGAGGTGTGGTAATTGAAGAGCAAGAGCTTCCACTTCCACAGTGTGAGCTGGGGCTGAGGCTTGTACAAGCCTGGCAGCACCTGCAGCTCCAGGGACCGGAGCAAATGTCCTCTCGCTGGCACTTGAGGAGCTTCGGCTACATTCTGCTGCTCCTCGGTAAGWTTGGGATGGGCTGAGCTGAAAACTCCTGGGGAACTTGGTGCACTAGAGAGGAGCAACCAAGATAAATACTGCTTGGATAGGGAAAACGGGCAGTGACGCTAGATGCTTGTCCTTGGTTGGGTTGGAGGCTGGGGAGCCATCCAGGGAATTGATATAGTGACTGTCCTGAAGCTTTGCTCTTTCCCACGGAGATAATCACCGAGATATACAGTTTCAGGGATTTTATTGGGGTGTATTTCAAAATGACAAATAACCACAGTCTAGGAGGAATAGTGTTATCAGACCTTGGGACGGTTCTGCTCTTTCCCACAGACTGCTTTCAGTTCTTATTGCAGCCTCCTGGTGAGGTTTGGGTGACTCCTAATTTTTTTTAAATAAACAACCCCCATRTGCAGGGAAAGGAGCTTTGCTGCAAACATGCTGTCAGATCTGTAGGTATGGGTGTAGTGGTTGCCTTTTGCTGYGAATTGGTTCCCAAAGATGAAGCTGCAGAATGGGTTGGTGGAGTGAGATTGCCCAGTATGAGTATTTTGAGGACATGTTTGAGAAGAAGAGTTAATGGGCAGTCTGTCTTCTCGTGCATCAGGATGAAGGTATGTTGCTCATCTGGACCTTCTTGCTCTCTGCAGGAGAAAACCTGGCTCTCATTGTTGAAATCCCCCAGGATTTGATCAATGGCACTGTGGGCCAGTCTGTGCTCCTGCCCATCTCTTATAAATTCAATAACATCTCTCTCTTTCCACTGGCAATTCAGTGGGCATTCAATAACCCCTCAAACTGGGTCATCAGCTGCACAGTGCACAACTGTTCAGTGGGTCCTGACGGGGTTCTCAAGAATTGCTCTGCAAGCTATTTCTCACACAACACGTACCGGGGTCGTGTTGTACTTTTCCCTGAGAACGCATCCTTGCTGCTCCGGGACCTGCAGCTCAGCGACAGTGGGGTCTACATCGTCACCTTCAAACAGCAGATCCTGACCAAGAACATCACCCTAACTGTGCACAGCCCTCACTTCAACCTTAAAAACCCAGGTGAGTGTGAGCATGAGAGCACCGTCAGCACGGGCATCACCTCGGCTACCCGAGCAGGGCATGCAGGAAGAGGAGTGGGTGCTGATAGGGTGTGTGTCCTGCTTCCCCAAGGGACATGTTGCTGGGGCAAAGGCAGGATTTCAAGGCATGTCACAGGTGATGCTGCAAGTAGCTCTTCTGTTTGTGACAGGAAATCCATTTTGCCCCCTTTTGCTTGATTGAATCAGGAGCATAAAGGTTTCCTGTGTAGCTGGTTGTCATTAAATAAGTCAGTGTTTCACCAGCCTCACATTTATCTAATATTAATTGAAATATTGGAGGTARATGGCTGAGAAACCTAACCACTGCTTTGCCCACTTCAGGATGGAAATATTTCTCAGCCTATTTTCCTGAATAGTTCCAGGAGTGGAGAAGAGGGCTGTGGTGTCTGGTGTGGAGTTACAGCAACCTCCCCATGGCATCCCCTCATGTGGAGCCCAAAGCAGATGCTTTGTTTAGATCTATCATCTAAACAACAAAATTGTTTAGATGTATAATTGGTTAGTGCAGGAAAAGGAACTCCCACACCAACTGTAGATGTGTGTGTGTGTGTGTTTTTAGCAATGAAATATTTCTTTTAACCTGTGTGTCTATAGCGCTGCCCTTCATCTACTTGTACTACTTCATGGTGATAAGGGGAGTAATATAATGAGAAGACAAGTTTTCCAAAAATGTGTTGCAATTACTGCAGCTGTTCCTTCAGAAAACACACCACATTTTCTTTCAAATGTCAGACCACAATGATCCACAGAAGGGAAGTTCAAGACAGATCTCTGTCTACATAATTGGAGTTTCTTCTTGTTTAATCTTCTTCCTTCTGCTATTCCTGCTCTTCTGCTGCAAACGGCGTCTGGGTGAGTGGATCTGCTCTTGCGTTTTAAGTTTTGAGGTTTCTGTGCCCAGATCCTCTGGACCTAAGGGATAAAGCTATTGGAAGGTTTTGGTGAGACCCATATTCTGCTGTTCATACCAAAACTATTCCTACCGTAAAGAACTTCCTAAAATATGTTGCCTTCTTCAAGTGTAAGAGTCACTGAATGTGTTTTAAGTTTTGAGATAGTTTAACAAAGTAGCTGCATGAATAGCATAGGTCTGTTGCATTCCCRAAGAGAATAGCTTTTGAGAGAACACATCTATTTTGTTGCTAAAACCAGATTCAAGGTACTGAAATCTCTTCTATAAAATAAGTACAATTTCTCCAGGACAATGCATTGCAAAAATGCAGTCCTGTAGGTGCAGTTATGATTATACTGTTGCAGTTATTTGGAAATGCTGGTTGGAGGGAACACCTGAGGATGCTTCCACTTTAAAAATAAGTCAGGAAGACATGCATATCTCCACAGCTTCTACCAGGGATGTCTTCCAAACCTTTCCTGCAGGTACCTTCAGTTCAGCTTCTTTGCTTTCTACTTAGGGGAAGTGCTACAGAAATCTCCACCTTAAATGCAAAATCCACCCTGCAACCCTGGAGCAAGTGCCAATAGAATAATCCTAGTTCTCTAGTATTTGAAGACAGGAGGATACAGACTACTAGTGTGTCTGTCAAATAATGCGTAACTCTCCTTTTCCTAGGTGCAGTTCAACAGAAGAAAACAAGGATCATTAAACAAGAGGTACAGGAGGAAAAAGCAGTTTGACACAGGCACCTCTGTAACTGCCAGCTGGTGGCTTGCTTAAGATGTTCTGARCTGTAAGAGTCAGGTTGTGAGCATGAAATTAAGAAGTTTATTTCATTATTCCAAGGGAAGGCTAAAAAGGGTCTTCCTCATCCCCCAGCTGGTCTTGAGCTGCTCGCTTCCATTCCACCTCCCTTCCATTCAGACCCCACTTCAGGCTTTGCCTGCAGCAGCCTGAATTCTGCTTTCATGGCTGGGAAGCCTGGAGCCAGCTACAGCCAACAGCAGCAAGAGAAAAGGTAGAATGAATATATAGAGAGAAAAGAGCAGATAATCATCCTGCCTTGCTTCCTAACCTCATAAATGTAAGCAATAGCACTTCTCTAGGGGACTGGTGTGGGTGATGTAGGCACACATCTTACACAGGGTCTTACCTGTGGAAAAGTGTTGCTAATGTCTTACAATTTTGCRTAAAGTGATGAGAAAGAGATAAAGAAACTTAAGGAGACGTCAGGCAGAGGACTCAAGTTGCTGCTCTGCCCCACACCAGGAATCCATAGGTGACTGTTGTGTTGGCTGATGTCCCAGAAAATACTCCGGGAAGTATCTCTTGCAGATCCTGTCAGCTTTTTTCTCTGTAGTAATTTTGATACAAAGAAAGCAAAAAGGTGATTTTTTCCATCAATAAGAGCAGGGAACATGGTCAACTCCCTGCTTATATGCTCTCTATACTCACATCCATATCTCTCTAGTCTGCTGTCTAGGCTGTGTCTGAGGCTGAATTTGGACTTACCTGAGAGATCCCTGTGGAAAATACATGGGAGGAGTTGCAGGGCACCTGTCATGTACCCCTGCTAGGCTGCAGCTGTTATGCTTCCATGTAGACAGAGCTGGCTCCAAGCTTTTCTCACCCCTCTCACAAGTCTGTGTTCCTGTCTCTATAATGTGTCTGTGTGTAAACCCATCTGGACTTCACACAGCTGCTGCTTATGTGCTGCAAGTCAGTAGCTCAGCCTGGTCCTCACAGAACCTCTGGAGAAGGCTGTCCTATTTACTCTTCCCTTTGCACTTACCCAGGTCTCCAATCCAGAGGAGTCTCCCATGGAATGTACCATGATGAGGGATACAGCAACTGTTTATGCCACAGTTGGAAACAACTTTGAACAGCCACAGCAGAGAGCAACACCAGAGACCGTGTACACATCTGTAACCTTCAGTGGCCCACCAGGAAGACGTTGACCACGGTCATCTTGAGCAGCAATTGTGCATCTGCCTGGAGTGGGAGCCTTGAACTTTGCTGAAGGTAGCCCTCTTTGAAGGTGAAGAGGATGTTCTTGTCACTGACTGTCTTTATTGATGTGACTCTCCAGCAGCTCTTAGTCTGCACACTGARCACAAGTTGTAGAGGCTTTGGAGCTCCTGAGTATGGAAATGCCTTAGTTCACCTTGATTTGCAGTCTCTCCAGAATTTGAGGAATGAGCTGGGTTACTTCCTTCTTGGTGTTTCTTGAGATTGCAGAGACACATGATGTTGGAGAAATGTTCATAAGGCAAAGGCCAATCAACATTTTGGACCTTGGGAACCTTACTCCTATAGACTCCAGTTTAACAAGGAAATTAGACAGCTCTTATTTGTGTGTCCTGGGTTCACTGCTAACAGTCTTGGCATATTAAAAAAAAAAAAAAAATCAAGATCATTTGGACTGAAAAGTTACACTTCTTTCTAAGAGTGTTTCAGTAGTTGTTGTGCATGTGCTCCCTACAAAGGGATTAKCTTGATGTTAGGATAGTGCAGTAGCTTCCTCCACTGTTGTTTTAAAATGTCCATGTGAAGTGCAGGCTTTCTCTTCAGTGGATCTCATGACGCATAATGTCATTGTACAAAACTGGGTGTACTTAAGTGGAAGAAAGCAGAATTGTGTTAACTTTATTTTAAGGTCAGAATTCCACATCTCTAGCAACACCAGCGTTTTGAGGTATCTTTAAAATGCTGTGAAGGCATAAACAGTTTTTTCTTCCTGAGTGTCATGATAAACCAGATAATATGTACCAGAACATCAAATCCCATGAAAAATAAATGGATTTAAGGTAAGGATGAGAAGCCTTGGTATTTCCCAACTACAGTCCCTTTGCAGTGACAGTTCAGTGGCAGGACAGGAGTCTCTTGGAGATAGCCTGCTGTTGTCTGCTCATCTCCTTGTTTGGGGGTCCTCTCCCTTCAGCAAGGGAAGAAATGTTTTCTCTACCAAGACACACAAGGCAAAAATAACTTTGTGCCTCCCACCTGCATCTCCAGCTAGATCCTCAATAGCTGGTGCACAAGCCCCTGTCCTCACCTAAGGTGACCCTGTCTCCTTTCTCAGGTGCTCTGTTCAGTAAAGCCCTTCTGGTGATCATGGCAACAGCTTTGCTCCAGAAAACAGAAATACTTTGTGGTTCAATAAAACCACAGGAAAAAAAATGCAGAAAATGTGCATCAGGTAGAAACAGCCATTGTGGTGGTTTGTGTAAGGCCTTAAATAGCAGAGTAATGGAGGGGAAAAARGTGAAGAAAGAGCAACTAAATGCACAGGAAATAAAACTGTGCCTCCTTAGGYTTAATCATGTAGGGCCCTCTTGGAGGGGTCTCTGTGCTGCTGTTGAAGGCCTTTGAAGATGCCATTCCTCAGGAAAGCGGTGGCATGCTGAAGGACTGCTCTAGACCCCRATTATGAAGACCCAGGTCCTCCAAAACTGTGGGCAGCCAAGGAGCTTATCTTTAGTCTGACAGATAGCATGAATTAATTGCCCATCGGTGCTTTAGAAACACAGCTTCCAGGTCTCGCAGGAGGATCTCTCCCTTCTGGCCAAGAGAGGTCTGGATGGAGAAAAACATGGATTGTGCTATGGAAACATATGGGGCTGAAATGCTGCTTCCCAAATGGTAATTGCAAGAGCCAGGTTTTGCTCTCACGGAGCATATATGTGCCACGCTGGATGCCTGCAGGGCGAGAGWGAAATAGCAGACATTGTGTTGAAGCTGCCCGCACTGTGGGTTGCAGGTTTGTGTTGGGTGCCTCCAATCCAGATGTGACTAAATCCTCCCTTTGTAACTCACGTCTTGTAGAGGCTGCCTGGTGCCAGGGTGGAGCCCTTGAGAGGTAAGGGGYTAAATACACCTACATACAATGAGGGCGCAGTAGTAGAAATACCCAGACCATTTTGTGACCTGGCCACATCTGTTCTGTGAGGCTTTTGCTTCCCTGGATTTGTCTTCTCTTCTCTCCTGGGGCCCTGCTAGTCCTCTGCTACTGGCACGGGAGGGATTTCTTCTCTTGCTAACGCATCCCTCCAGCGCCTGCAGCTAGCGCATGCAACAGCTTCACCGGCTGCTGCTGCTATCTCATTTCCTTCACCAGGTAGTTTCTTTGCAGAGTTCTGCCCGTCAGGCCCTGCTAAAGGTCATTGTGGTTTTCCTTGTGACTGCAAAGGGCTCAGATCTTGCAGCTCTTTCTCAAGTGCTCTGCTATGTGTTGGCCAYGTCTCAGGACACAGTACCTCCCAGTGGATACAGGCAGCCTTTCATGCTGAAGACTCCCAGTTTTCTTCAACTGGAAAATTTCATCACGCTACTGTTTCGTCCAAGCACTTGTGATGTCTAGCGGAGATGGAGGCTGTCGCTTTGTGGCTGTTCAGCAGTAGCAGTGTGCGGAGGGCAGTGCGGGAACTGAACTGTGCTTTCAGGAAGTCTGTGGCGTGAGTTCCACCTTACTGATGGTCRGTCGCTACTCCTGTCTCTTTGACACCATAATCAAGTTGTGGTTAAGTTCCATAGGAACTTAAGAAAACACTTCTTGACAGTGAGGGTGACAGCCCTGGAACAGGCTGCCCAGAGAGGTTGTGGAGTCTCCTTCTCTGGAGATCTTTAAAATCCACTTGGATGCAGCCTTGTGCTGCATGCTCTGGGTGACCCTGCATGTGCAGGCTGGTCGCACGAGATGACTTCTGAGGTCCCTTCCAACCTTAAGCATTTTATGATTCAATGATAGACTGTACTGGCCCAAAGAGATAGTGCGCAAACTCCTCTTCACAGCATGAGTCTCTTGCCCATAATTACAGGATTTTCCCTGCTATGTTTTGTTTTGGGGCTCTGCCAGCTCCTCAACAGCTGCTAAGTGCAATGCAGGTGCTAGAAGCGCTAAGTGGTGGCAAGGGTGGGTTGGCAATGCTCCTTTATTTCACTCATCCTTCCTGGAAACAGATGAAGCATCTGCCTGGAGAAAAAAAGCTTCATCCTGTAACATTTTTCCAAAGACTCCCAGTTTTTGTCATGTCAGTTTTCACTGTTCACACTGATGCATCCGCTGCAGCTACCAAGAGACACAACAAACACACCAGACTAAGAAATGTGCTAATTTAAAGAGGAAATATTCATGGGAAGCTCATAGGAACAGACAAAGCTGTTSTTCCCTATGACACATGTGTTTTCCTGCTTGTATTTTGTGTCTTTACTTCTTTCCATGGCCTTTAGTTTTTCAGCTGTCTCAAACTCATGTAAACTGCACCCAGAATACAGCAGAGCTGCRCTCTAATGCCAAAATGTTAGCTGATGTATGATACTACCTGACAAATTCCCTGCATTGCCTGGAGGAACTGGGTAGATGGGAACAGAGGCTGCTTCTTCAAAAGAGACACAACCCAAAACACATTTGGCTTGATAAATGTTTTTTACTGACTTGTTTACAAGCTGTCCTGTAGACCTGCTTAAAGATCATTGCCCTTCCTGTTTAAAGATTCCCATCCTGCCCACGAGGTAGGGCTGTGAGTAAATGACATGGTTAAGATCAAGGCTTTGGCCYAAGGCTAAGTTGCCTAAACAGGACTTGGAAGACTCCTGCTGAGCATGAGTTGAGAAATTGCCAAATGTGACAGATAAAAGATGGGTCAAAAGTTAATGTTGGTGCTGTGAGGGGTTTCATGTGTGCTTCAGGGGGAGTGATGTGGGAAACAGCTGAGTAATGGCAGGATGAGAGCATTGAGCACCTTTGAGTGAGAAGGACACTCCTGCAAGACCAACAGTGCCCTGGTAACTGCTCCAGTCACGCGAGACACGGCTGAGGTTGTCTAGGCATGATTGTTTGCTTGGAAGTGGATTGTTTGCTTGTAAGGAGGTTGGGAAGAGAAAGGTTGAGAAATGGCAAAAGAGGCACACAGGCGCCCAGGACCTGCAGTGCTGTCCCTGGCTAGCAGGGAAACGTGCAAGGTGAGGGAACAGCCTGGTTCTGCTGTGCTGGTGCCTTTGCCTTGCCCCGCAGGCACCTGGGGCACAGAGGGGAGGAAAAGCCCTCCTGGGTGTGAGCCGAGTCTGCTGTGCCCCAGGTGCAGGTGGTGATGAGGCAGCACCCAGCCCAGGCGCTGCCGAGCTGCTCCCTGCACTGCCACTGGGATCAGCGGGGAGCAGGCGTGTGAAGCTGTGCCTGCGGGCAGGACCTCCCGGGAAGGATTCCCTGGCAAAGTGACAGGAGAGCAGGCAGCAAGAAAGGAGAGGAGCAGCGGAGAGGAGAACAGCGAGTCTGGGCTTGAGCTGGGACTAAATCTCTGTCCTTGTGAGCATCAGGGATCCAGCGCTTAAGACTATGAAAACTCTGCACCATCCAAACTGATCTGTTTTGGTTCTTTTTTTCCTGATACAGTTTGGACCTTTGGACCTTATTTTAAAGCCACCACAATTTGTGAGCTACTTTCCTCAACAGATGCTGGTTTGCCGTCCGTTGGAGCTGCGGGGGACCAGCTGGGTGCTGCTTGCAGGTAGGCTGTTCGCGAGCTGGGCTCGGTGCGGGTGCTCTCGAGTGGACCCTGAGCCAAATCCTCGCCTGGGCAAACTGCAGCAGCGCCTGTGACTTCTGCAGGGTTGTGGGGCTCTACACAGGCACCTGATCTGCACAGTGGGATTTTTTTACCCTAGGCAATGTTTCTTCCCAAAAGCTGCAAACAAAAGGAAGTGCATCCCTGCTTTGCTGCCCAAAGACTGAAGAGCTAGAAGCACCAGCAAATTTACTCACAGTCTAAAAGTCTTCTAGGTAGATTTATACTGTGATTCCTATAATCTCATAATTTTCACAATTATAGGTGAATCGTCTCATTGCAGTCTTTATATATGCATGGAGGTAACTTCAAGTACAAATATTTTCAGGATCAGCATCTAAGGCAGGAAAGAAACCCTATACGGTACCTCTGTTTTTTCAAATACCATGTTATTAATGAGCTCTGTTTGAGTATCTGCAAGATGAGCTTTTCATATCCTCGCAGAAGGCCGGGTTCAATTAAGGACCTTCTCTTAGCACCTTCTAGTGGTACTGCTACTGTTTGTTATGTGGATAGCTGCTGCATAGTGTTCTTCTAGTGTCAGTTGTAACACCCCTTTTCCTTCCTGCACCCATCTGTTTTGGGAACCTCAGGGCATATAAGTGAAAAATGGGAGCTCTTTTTCAAAGTTTCTAGCATGAGAAAGGAAAATGATCAAATGGATTTGACTTCTTTTGAATTATTTATGTCTATTCTCTTTCCTACCTTTGCTTTGTAATTGCTAAGAGAAATAACTGGTCAACACAGGAGGGACAAATTCCTCATCATTTTCTCGAACAGCGGGAGGCAGTGTAAACGTGCGCTTATCTGGGCTGGAATTAAAACACCCAGAGGGGACAGAGTAAATCCAATCTGCGCAGCTCGTGTGTTTGTCCTGGTCTGAACCAGGAGATAACAGCGGGCTCGCTTGCCGGGCATTTCTCCAGCTCTTGGCTGCAGACARCGGTGTGTCTGGGGCCCAGGTGCCCAGGTCCCCTATTTCCATCGGGAAATACATTTTCCCGGTGTCACTTTTGTGGGGAGATGTGGCTGTGATGGCTTGGTGTTCGTCATCGCAGCAGATTCAGTTGCAGTGCTCCCGCACTAGAGTCAGACCATAAATTTGGATGTGGAAAAAAACGATAGCAAAATTCCCAGCATATTCACTCCAGCCTTTAGGAGTCACCAGAGTCTTTGTCAGAGCAGGAGAAATTAGTTTGCTCTCTGCCTGGATAGTTCATGGATAAATGCCCTCCCTTTCATTTTATCCACTCCCTGCTTCCATGTCTTGGACCTCTCCTTCTTTTTGGATACTCTGCTTTACAAGCGAGGACTTCAGCAGTTGTWTCTGTCCAGCTTTCCTAGAAATGGGCTAGGATGAGATGCATCATGGCAGCTCTTTACAGTGCTCTGGGCTTGGAGATATTCAAAACCCACCTGGATGCAATCCAACATGCTCCAGGTGACCCTGCTTGTGCAGGGGGGTTGGACTAGATGRTCTCCAGAGGTCCCTTCCAAACTCAGCTGTTCTCTGATCCTGCTCATTTTGAAACCCGCAGACCCTCAGTTATAGYCTGAGTCACAACAAACTCATTAGCTGCCCTGCACACTGGGGAAGCAGCTGCATCCTGGTATGCTGGGCATGAATAGAGGTTTTCAGTCCCAAACAAAACCAGGAATTTGGGACAAGCCATGGAAATTTGGTCAGGAGTGGAATGTCCTTCCATGCACAGACTGGGAAATGACACCCAAAAGCACACACACATACAGAGATTTAGCCAGTGACTCACAGAGGAGTTTGACCTGAACTCACAGCACTGCAGCAGATTCCTCTAAGCAACTTGTGCTGCAATTAGGCACCTCTCCAAAACATCTCGCTGCCTGCCAGCATGTGGCACCGTGCACCACTAGCACACAGCAGTGACAAGGGCTTTCTGAGAAGTTATCTGTGATGCTGGCGATGCCACAGCCATGCTCTTGAGCCATGCTGACTTGCTCTGTCCTGTCTCCTCCCCTTCCATCTAGGGCTGTTAGTGCCCGTGCAATGGGCTGCAGAACCAGGAGGACCTCTGGAAAGAAAAGCTGCCGCTGTGGGATCCTCAGTGCTGCTTCCCGTGCCAGATAATGTCACACAGATACRCTCTGTGCAGTGGGAGTACCTCAACGGCACCGAGTCCCACGCCATCCTCCAGCACTACAGAGGGTCACACAGTCCAACTGTCTGTGCACCATACGCTGGTCGAGCCATTTTCCATCCATCCAATGGATCTCTCTTGCTGGAAGATGTACAGGAATCTGACAGTGGGATTTACAAAGTGACCATCAACCTAGAAGAAAGGGAGAGCCTTCAAATCCAACTGGAAGTCCTCAGTAAGTGGCCRTTGTGGGAGGGAAGAAAAAGATGATGGATATACACAGAACAGAGATATTTTTTGAATGTATCTGGACTATTGGCCAGGYCAAGAGTTTTGGTGAAGAGATTTGAGCTAAGAGTGTGGTAGTGATCATGCAGGTTTTCCTTGTTTTAATCTGCTGTGCCCCGGGGAGAGCAGGTGAAGAGGCTCCAAACCTTTGCCAGGGAGGAAGCTCTGTAGTGTTGCTCTGAGAGACCTCYTGGGAGCTGTGCTTGTGAGAGAGAGCAGGACTCCATCCTGGAAAGGCCTTTTGCTCTCTCTTTTTTTCTACTTAAGTGCAAGGGACTGAGAGCCTGGCAGGATGCTGTGGGTCTCCTGCTTCACACTGGCCACCTGCAGTGCACCTGGGCAGCCTTTGCAAGGGGTGCTTGGGAGAGATATTAGGTCCATAACGTGGACTTGCTGCAGAAGTTGCAAAACATCTCCCTCTCTGGCCACAGTGGAAGCTAAGCCCTGAGGTTACTGCTGCTGTATGATGCTGTGTCTGTGCTAGATAGCTGCCTGCAGGACTGCCCGGGGAAGGGCACCTGTGCTGGCCCTGTTGTGGACGCAGGGATGCTGCAGAGAGCTTTGTGTCCTTGACTCCCACCAGCTCCCCGCTGCAGATGCTCCAGGTCCTGTCTGACAGAAGCGTTGGTGTCTCTGTCCTCTTTCCAGAGCCCGTCTCTCCGCCTCGGCTCCGGAGCAGTGACCCAGTGGCAGAGTCCACCATYGAGCTGCTCTGCGACGTGGCTGAGGGCAAAGTGGACACCATCACCTGGAAGAAGGATGGGCAGCCCCTTCCCCCGGGCGGAGGTTTCTCTCTCTCCAGCGGCATCAGCGTCCTGTACCTGAGGAAGGCGCAGAAGTCGGACTGCGGTTCCTACTCCTGCAATGCCAGCAACGGGATAAGCTGGCAGGAGGCCTCCCTGAACGTGACCATTGCAGGTGCTCACTGCTTGGCMTTGACTCCTGACCTGGGGCTTGCGGCTCGACCTGTGCGGCTAGAAATTGCCACCASGAAATGGCTGCTTCCCATGAGCTGCCAAAGGAGAGCTAGAGAGACCCACTCCCACCACCTTCTGCTCTCCATGCCTCCCCAGGGTTCTCTGGATGATTTAACTCCATCCCTCTGCCTCTACTCGCCAAGGCTCGGCCAGCCTTCCCATGACATTATGGTCCAAGGGTGAACCCCGGGGAGCTGACAGGGTCTCCCATTCTCCAGAATGACTGGCAATTCCCAGTCTTTTCTTGAGAGTGCAGCCTTACAGCGACTGCCTGACCAGCRGGGTTGGGGTCTTCTTTCTGTCCTCCAGTGACCTCTTCCATCTCCCACCAGCATCATTTCCCTCATCATCCCCCATCACTTCTGCCTGCCTGCAGGGTGCAGTCCGGCCTGGGCAGGATGGCAGTGGGAGCCTGGCTCTTCCATCTGGAAGAAGGTCCTGTGGCTTCTCCAGACCATCCCTGCCACCATGGATAGGGTGATGGTGAGCAGGAGATAGCGACCAAGGTCCATGCAGCTCCCCTTGTCCCAAGCTGGGCATTTCGTGGACCAGACCCTGCAGCAGCAAGCACTAATTTGGCCACCAGATGGCAAATAAAGCAAGTCTGTCCCATTAACAAGGAGCACACTATGACTGTCCTGCTGGAGGCCTGAATCTTGGCTCTTGTTTTTCCAGGTCTCTCTCCAGCCTTACAAGACGTGCTGCGGATGGCAGTGGTTGCTGTGGTCTTTACTGTCGTCTCGGGATGGGGCTTAATTTTTCCTGTCTGCCAATCAGAAAAGCAAAGGATAAGTGAGTCTGCTAGGGATGACGTTGAGAGCGCTGGGAGGGAGGGAGGGTGGAAAATGGATCTTCCATTAGGAAAAATGATAGTTAAATTTCCCCTTCCAACTGTCTCAGCATCTTGTCTCATGCTCAGGTATCAGACCCGAACAAGAGGAGAGAGAAATTATTTCTAGGGCTAATTATTCTTTTTAACAGAAAAAAACCTCTGTTTTCAGTCTAGCACCTTCTAGACGTTTTGGTTAAGCAGAGCTGAGTGACATTTTTATAGAAAAGGAAGATTCCCAGGAGTATTTTTATTGCAACACAGAATGAATTAAAAGAAGAAACGGGAGAAATACTGATACAGGCATATGTGCTAAAACCCATGCAAATAGGTCCTGATTTATTCAGGCCGGGTGAAGGCACATGGTTKGGAGGTGAGTACTGCTTGATGGGGCTCAGGTCTCCTCTCAGACCCCCATCACCCCTGTCAGTCCCCAGTAAGCGCCCTGGATCTCCCACAGCATTTGGGGGAGGCGGGATTCATCCCGTGGAAGCAGTGGGAGGCGGGCATGGGATGTCTCCCGTGTCACGGAGGTGACTCCAGCCCCGCTGTGCCTGTGCAGGGGGGGAGCTGTGGCGATGGCTCAGTGTCTACACCTGCGGGCTGGTGTGCCTCTCCTCCGTCCTGGCCAGCGCAGCCCTCATCCTCTGGATGCGAGAAGAAGGTATGAGGGTGGTCACGTTGGGGTGCTCTGCAGACTCCAGCCCTGACGCCTTCCACCCATGCAGGGTGCAATCCCTGCCGTAAAAATATACACGTTGGGAGGAGGGAGGAGTCCTGGAGACCTGGAGGTCTTCCAGGAGGTCTTTACCTCCTGGAAGAATCAGAGCCTTGGGGTATCTGAATGAAACATTTGGAAAGGAGAGGGTGGGCTTTGTGATTGATGCCTACGAAATCACGAACGTGGTAAACAGGGCAAATGCAGATCTGGTGTTGACCCTTGTGCTGCTTTCTTTCAGGCCCGTCTATTGCCTTCATTCTGCCCGAGATCATCCTGATGTATGTGATTGTGGTAACRTTCCTGGTCTCTGCCACCGTGACATTCCAGCCTGAAAAGCTCATCCATCTCAAAAACAAAACAGGTGAGCTGCTCCACTGAGGATGGCAGGGATGGAGGGTAAGAATGGCTGGGGGAGAGGGTTATTTTGCCAAAAATCTCACCCATTTTTTTTAATGAAAATGGTTTTTTAATKAAAATGTTATTTTTCTTTCTGCTGCAATTCTGCTCTAAAGTTGGGGTCTTGCTAGACCCCAGGTTGCTAGGAAGTGCCCAGAATGCAGTCCTGTTGAGCGTTTCACTTCACAAAAAGCATAGCTGAGCTTGGGAGCAGTCAAAGTCATCTGTAGATCACAAGTGGGTGYCCCTCCCCATGGACCACGGGCCAGGCCAGCTCTGCATCTGCTGCAGGTGCCTTGGACCAGGCAGTAACTCTGTGTTGTCCTCTTTCGCTCACCAGTGCAGCGCACCATGGGCTACGCTGCTCCCGGAGGGGTGCTCTCCGTCGTGCTGACTACCAGCTTCCTCATAAAGAACATCTACCAGCGCCACGGTGAGAAGACATTGTCTAGGGGCTGGCACTTGGATTGCCAAGGTCTGGAAAGCCCTAAGACATTTGTTGTATTGAAACTGAGACTTGTCCACGATGTACAYACTGTTTCTCTTTGAGTCTGCCTCCAAAATGCCTGGGATTGGGGCTTTTGGAGGGATGAAAGAAAGGTCCCAGGGAAAAGTCCGCTTTTTTCATGCGCTTTTTTGAAGCCTCTGTGAAAGGATATCAAATTTTGAGCGGCTCTTATCACTGTTTTGTGCATGTTTTGACACAGACCGTTTAACCTTATGTTCTTCTCCCTGTGGCTCGGGCTGGGTGCCGTGCCCTCCTCCTGCCCGTGTGCCCGACAGAACGGGGCTGCACAGCGTTTGTGGACGTGACCGTCCTGGCGGTGAGCACAGCGGCGGTGTCTGCCCTCCCGATCCTCGCAATCTTCCTGCGCTGTAAGTGCCCCTGCCCCTGCTCTCCCCGAGCCCCCGGGCACCTGGTGCTCAGCAGCGTAGCACTTTCTTTCCTCTACTTCTTTCTGTACCTCTTTCCCCACAAAACCAAATGGTTGTGTGAATTATTTGAACCTAATTTGTCTGGCCTTTGCTAAGACCTCAAGACCCACRTGTCTCTCAAGTTACCGTTTCCCTTCCCCATGAGCTTCAAACACCATTCCCAATGCAGCATCCTATACTGTATGCATGATACCTCTCATTTTTTTTTTTTTCCTGATGCCTGGGAATAGACTTGTTGTCTTGCAGATCATACAACTCAAGGAAGGAGTTGTCGGGAAGAGGAAAATGACTCTAGCTGGGTTGACAAGCACAGGTAAATCTGTTATCTTGTTCTACATTAATTTTGACTGCCTTGAAATGAAGACAGAGGTGTGTATGACCTAATCTGCCTTAAGTCACAGATTCAAAGAAAGGTGTGGTCTAGCTCCTCATTTCACTCTCAGCCTGCAGGGCTGKTTCTGGCAAAGATCTCCATTCAGCAAAGTGCATGAACATCTGCTCAATTCTCTCCAAAAGGCTCTTGCTTAAGGATTAAGCACTGACCCTTTCAATTCCTGCTGATTTTCCCAAGCTCTCTGCATCTCAGTAGTGCTGCAGATGAGGCATAGCCAATGTGCGAGCATCACAGCAGAGTCCCAGGGCACATCCCATACCTGTCCCAACCTCACCAACAGCACCTCAGCTACTCTTTTCCAAAACAGCCTTGGGCAAAGGCGGCTGCAGAGGAAYGAGGCCATTTGTAGTGTCCCGATAGAGCTGTGAGTCAGGAATTAGGTGGGCACAGAGAGGGGCAACTTCACCCCTCTTCTTGCCTCTGCCTGGTGTAGGAACTGCCCTTTCTCTCGACACAGCAGGCACAGTGCTACAGCTCCACGGTGCTCACTGATGGGATCTCCAGCTCTCCAGGGTTATCCAACACACCAGCACACATTTGGCTGGTCATTCACAGAGCTCAGGGGCCCTGAGAGATGTCCATGGAGCTGGAGGGAGTTATGAGGCTGCCAGAGGATAAAGTGCTCCCCTTTAAGGAACAGGATGAGTCCCATAGGAACAGGATATTCAGTTCCACACAGCTGCCAATGGGCAACTCGAGTGATGCTCGACATATCTCACCAACTCTTCTTTGCAGGCTCTTTCAAATCATGAAGGATCCCGTTTCTAACTGTTAGAGGCTGGAAGTATTTCTCGTGTGGGCTGAGTGACTGCAAACGTCCTCCCTGCTTAGGGAGTCTGCATTGTCTGCGTTTCCCTGGGCTGATCTTTATTGTGTGTGTGTGTGTATATATATATAATGGCAATTAAACAAGTCTACTCCTTTTTGGTTTTGCTRTGGAGGGTTCATTTTTTCCCTTTTCAATTTCCATCTCTCTAAAGCAAAGAACAAATGAGGAAATGTTACTTCCAAAGAAGAAGGGAAGAGCGTTCCGGCTGCTTCCATTTCCTGCCCTAATGAGGCTGCACGTGGGGCTGTGCCTGCCTGCTTGCTCCCTGCTGCAYGGGTAGTTTCAGTGCCTCTTTTAGGTCACGCTCTCCACCACCTAATCCTTATGGCTGTGGGCATTCACCCTTACCCCAGCCAGCATCTCCCCTCGCTGCCTGTTCTGGGCCTGGTGGATCAAAGAGGGTCACACTGACTTGCTATCCTAAATGAGCCTTTTCCTCCACCACCTCTGCAACCTGGGCAGTGTCTCTGGAGGACAGAGGACCGCGGTCCTGCCTCAGAGCTTGGGGTAGGCACTTAGCAGCATCACCCACACTCAGCTGCCTTCTGCTGATGACTCTGCTCCTGATGACACCATGTGGTGTTAACATGTTCTTTAATGTACCTGGTTAAATGTAAATGTCCCCGTGCAAGCAGAGACTGTGTCTGGAAGTGCAGACAGTTGCTGGGRCTCCCTGCTTGGATTTCTTGCTGCCCGTAAAGAGCGGTGCTTGATGCTTCATGGTGCTTGGTGCACCAGGGCGTGGGGCAGTGGGAACCTGCCTGTGGGTGAGATCTCTGGAGAAAAGAGGTCTCACCTCTGCTCTTCAACCTCCCCACAGCATAGKGAAACAACTACTCCCCAGCCTGTGCTACCAAATCCTTGGGGAAAAACTGTTAATTTGCATGGGAGCAGTCCTTTTTAGGGACCCTCTCTCCAAAAACCTAACTTAGGACAAGCATGCAACTGGTATCAGAAAGTAAAGAAGATAGCGCCATGAAGAAAAATGTCCACTAAAATCAAGAAGTTGGGGGTGGACACTGAGCTGCTTGTTGTTTCACTCCTGTGCAGTGGAACTGCAGGAGTTTTAGCTGTTCAGACAAACAGAAACCGCAGCTGAGAAGTTCCTCTCGTAGTGAGTGTTCAGAGCTCACTGAGGTTGAGGAACGTTAAACTGTGAGAGGCCACAGGGCTCGTTGTGGCTTTCACTTCTGCAGCGTCACGTCAGCTTCTTGCTGCAGAGTAAAAGATTGCAATAGTCTTAACGGTAAGGAGTAAGAATATACACATTTCTATGACATTTCAGGCATCCTCCCAGTTGCCCTTTAGATGTTCATGCTAAGATAACAGAGCACGTGCAGTACTGTATGCAGGAAACCTGACAATCAGCCCAAGAAAAAGTGGACATGAATCTGACCGATGTTTCATTAATGGTATAATGGCAAAGGGAATGCAACCATGAAGTTACAGGAAACTCTTAATTGGTAACTGATGGAAAAAGCGCCCCTGGGAGATGTGCATCATATGTGCTATGTGCGCCTGATTTCTCCGTTGCTCTGGGAACATGGATTACTTGTTGATTTTGTTAAGTCTGTATGGTCTTCATAATACCATTAAGGTTAAAAAAAAATGGAAAAAGCAAATTAATCTAGCAGGATAAATAGTCAAAGCCATGCCGAGCAGGCCAGAGGCAAGCTCTCACCCAGGGCTGTGTTTGCTTGGGATGGAGGCTTGGAATGCTTATAAAGAGAGAGCATCTGTTGCAGAGGCAAAATGAGCACAAAGGCTGTCAGAGGGGAGGATGGGAGAAGTGTCCCCAGCAAGGGAGTCATGGTGCACAACTTGTGATGCTGGGACACAAAGCTCTACCTTGGAGAGACCAAAAATGACTTAAGTGGAGGAGGCGGGGAGATGGAGGCCCCCTCATCTCCAAAGATGTACCTGGGCATCTTTAAATGCTCTCCTGATGAGCAACACAAGCAACACAAAGTAGATCTCTCCTTTGGAAACGTGCATCAAGCTCACACAGGCACTTAGGTGGCAGCCATGGTCCTAATGCCACCTGGAGACTGAAAGAAAGGATGAAGCATCGGAAAGCTTAGAATGTTTTCAACACCTGATGGAAAACACTAGAGAGCAGAGCTCTGTTGCTAAGTGCAAATGAAGTGCCCCCATCTGCAATAGCAGTGCCAGGAGGAGAAGGAACGAGACCCAGGTGTGTGCAATGAGCGYGGCTGCTACTTCTCCCACTGACAAGCTCAGTTCTGCTTTCTCAATAGGCAGGTAGGTAGAGAATAGGAGGTAGGTAGAGAAGCTGCTCCATCACCCTCAGCTTTCTCCCCCAAAACTGTGAGGTGCCAGGAGTGCTTTTAGGGGCACCCTGACAGGGTGATCATCTCCCTTCCACCCCTCCAGTGGGGAGGATGGCTTCTGTCCCAACACCAGCCACCTGCAAAGGATGCTCTTGCACCAGGGTTTCGTTAGCCAAGCCTTTCCTGGCCGTGAGGAGAGAAGAAACTACTGGGTGGACACAATAAGGAGCCAGCGACAGCAGGAGAGGAGCTTGGCTTCAGGGCTGAACGTTATTTATTCATTTTTATCTATTTATTTTGCATTATTTTGCATTGTTTATGCAGCTTCAAGCTGGTGCTTGGCTGTGCCGTGGCCAGCCGGAGGCGAGTGATCCTGGCTGCCCTGGGGAGCAGCGGTTGGTGCCGCGCGTGGTCCCTGCTCTCTCCATCCACGCTCCCAGCTGTCCTCTACGCATTAAACAAATGCACAATAGTGCCTCCTCGGCAGCGCTTCCTCTCCTCCCCCTCGCAGTCCCTGCTGTCTCTGCCAGGGCTTCACGCTCTCCCTCGCTCGCCGGCCTCCCTGCGCCTCTCGCCCGCAGCATCGGGGCCCTTGGGGCCGGGTGGGGGGCTCGGCCCCTCCACCAGCCCCAGGACAGAGCTGCCTGTGCAGGAGTTCCTCGGATTTACGTGCTGTATCTCCTGACYGCAGCGTGTGTATGTGAGGAGACAAGAGAGCTGCTTGCTTATTTACGGTGTGAACCTGACAGACTAGGTGCCACAGTCACCTCCCCTCTCATATGAGGTTTCTGTGAACCTATAGGGTTGTGTTTTTCATTTTCACTGCTTTGCATTTCTGCTGCTTTTAGAAGGAAACGGGACCTTCATCTGCATGTATTTCCTCTGTCTTCAGTTGCTGATCGTTACTGGTGAGTAGCATTTTCCTTTTTTATTTCCTCCGTGTTTGTTGCCCATCCTGCCAGCTGTTCTTCTTTTGACCCTGCCTCAGCGGACAACAGGGCGAGTGGGAGCAGATTTGCCCATGATGCTTCTGTTAGGTCCTTCCTGAAGGACCTGATGGTGCCAGATGGGAACACCCCATGTGTGTGTTTGCTCTGATGGCCACAGGTCCTTTCCAATCTCACATATCTTTTATTTCTTCCTAGTACAGTACTAGCAGTGTAGAAGGCTAGAGGAAAGCACACGCAGAGAATGACTTCTCGCCCCAATCAGCGTGACTTTTAGGAGGACACAGCACTCTCCTGTAGGAAGCCGGGTGGCTCTGCTTCTGCACTCCTGATGACCGCAACCAGTTGTCCTTTTGTACAAGCAGTTACCCTCTGCTAAAGCTGTGGGCGGAAGGCATTTTTGAGGGTTAATTTTCAGCAGTGCAAGTTATGTGCAGCGTGGGAGAAGGCAGCAAATGCAGAGCACAGAGCAGGGCACACACGGCGTGCTGCTCTTCCAGGGACTGATATTGGGTTGCTGYCTCGCAAAACCCCTCACAGAGGGGCTGCAAGACCCCTCTGTCACACTGCGTGCACGCGCTCCCCTTCGTCATCGTGATTCCCGAGCATGAACAGCAGCAGTTTATTTGGGTAGCTGGGGCCTGTGCAACGTAAGCCACATAAAAAGCTCTATGAGTAGCTGGAAAGCACTTGATAATACACATCCCATCCCTACTAAAAGCTGGACATGCATCCGACAGTCAGCAGCGTTGCTACCTGTGCTTCTGCCTTAGTGAGSTTTTCCACGTGGGAATAACAGCAGAATTACCAATAAATATACATTTACTTGCACTGGTATAAATATCAAAGATAACAAAACTAAAGGAGATGATAGAGACTAAAGGAGAAATGTTACAGGCTTAGGCACACGTGTCCTTATGGTCTGATCCTATGGCTGCTCGTAAGTATTAACTCAAAACTTGCAATGCTGCCATCGCTGCCTCATGGAAAGAGCACTTCTTCCTGTTTACAACTCTTCCTCTCGGTCTGCAAAGATTGGATGTTATTGAACATGCTGTAAGACAAGAATTTCTTTTCAAGGAAGCCACAAAAATAGTCTACTGTACTTGTTTTTAGATTTAAGTACGCCACTGAAAACAGGCTTAAACAAAACTTTCTTTTTTCTTTCTTTTTTTTTTTTTAAATGTTCTTCAAATGTTTGCCGACCTAGTTGGGGAAATCACAGTCTGAGCAAGCACCACCCCTCATTACAGAAGGATTTGCAATTGAAAGAGGAATTTTCAGGAACCCTTCTCCAGCCTAGATCGTTGCAGTTTTTGCTAGTTTCAAACCGGCTTAGCTTGAGGTCACTGCCGTTTAACATCGCGTGCATATCACACAACGTAAGATGAGGACGGTGATCCTTGTTTTCCCTCTGTGGTAAGCTCTTTACTGTAAACATCTGCTGCCTTTCCCGTCCGATGCCGATCTGCTGCCTGTGGGAGCCCATGGAGGAAAGGCGGATGCTGCTGGGAGGTAAGGCCCGTGGATAATGTCCTGTCGAACTGGGCTCAGCCCATCGGCACCTCCTCACCGAGGAGCTGTCTCGGAGCGGTGCTCCCGTGGTGAGCCCCAGTCACAGCTCCTCAGTGCAGCTGCCTCCTTCCCTCGCAATGCTCTCAAATACTTCAGCATCGCTCTTCCTGGGCATTACTGCCACCTCCTACGAGGCAGTTGTCCTCTATCGCGTGCTTAAGGATATTTTTCCACGAGTCTCTCCAAGGCCAATGCAGTTACTCTCTGCTCATGTGTTTGCTGGTTGCTCTCTAGAGATGATGTGTCTTCCAGTTATTGCACTATGAGTGTCTCCTGCCTTCTTTCCTCTGTGCTTAAGCCACAGTGTTGCTTTCGGTCCCCTTTTAGCAACCCGTCTAACCATGTGAAGCACTAGAAGCGGCTCCGGAATGAGGACACGGGGGGCTGGACTGCTCCCTGGTTTTGCAGTACTTAAACTGTTTGTGCAAGTCTCCACCCTCTTCTTGAAGCATTTTGTCATGTCTGACTTTTCCTATTTTTTTTTAAAATAACATTTTGATCACTGTGAAACGAATACTAATTAATACTAATTCAGTTTATATCTCACCAGGCTCTTAGAGGGGGTTAGTTTCTCTTTTGTTTTTGCTTCGCTGATGTCTCATTCTTCTCTGACAACTCTGCTCTCTGCAGGTCTGTTTTTGGTTTTGCAGTGCACTTCTTCAGCAGTGGAAACCACAGAAAAACGAGTTGTGGCTGAAGGATCCTCAGTGCTGTTGCACGCACCAGATATCAAGAACATCAACTTCACGGAGTGGGAATACATAAAAGACACCACGCCCGTGTTCATCCTGCAGTACTACGCGGATTCGCAATCTRCCACGATCTACTCGGCCTACCAAGGCAGGGTGGTTTTCTATCCAAAGAATAGCTCCCTGCTCTTGCAAAAGCTACAGGAGACCGACAGTGGGGTCTATAAAGCAACCATTGATCTGATGCAGGATAAAACCAGGACAACTCTCTTGGAAGTTATCAGTAAGTCAAACGTGCCCAGGGAGGCAGCGGAGGCTCCTTCTCTGGAGATCTTCCAAACATGTCCGGATGCGACCGGGTGCCCCGTGCTCTGGGTGTTCCTGCTTGAGCAGGGCAGTTGGACTAGGTGATCTCTAGAGGTGCCTTTCAACCTCAACCAGCCTGCGATTCTGTGAAATTTTGCCTTTCTCTGTTTTCTGAACTTACCTGAAAGATAATCAGGAAAGAGAGTTCAGCCTGGTTTTAATTGCCCTTTCACAGAGCTCATGTTCCTTCCCAGTTGCTACATGAGCATAGTGCCTGTAGGAAACCGTGCTCAGGGAAGAAGGACTCAATGAGCATGCTGTTGCTATTAAGTCCAGGTGTAGCTCGTAGCAGCCCTTGCTGGTGGGGGTACATAGGCATTAGCAGAGAGTCAGCCCTCCTTTTGCTCACAAGAGTATCCAGCACGCAAGGTCTGGCCCGTGAGAGGTCTGACCAGTTTAAATAGAGGCAGCTAGGCAGTCTACATAGCTTCTCTGGCCCTCCTTCTTCCCACTCCTGCTGGACACCCAAACAGAGAGAAAACTCCCTGCCACAACTTTTCAGTGCAGCTCCAACTCGCAGCTCTTTTGAGTCCATATCCTGAGGCCTAGAATGTCATGCCTGGTCTCTGAGGGCAGTGTGGGCTGGTGGTGTCCATCCCAGGGTGGCTGCAATCTCCTTCTGTGATCTCTTTCAGAAACWGTACCCCAACCCAAGATCCAGGGCACTTCAGGCCTGGTGGGTTCACCCATCCAGTTGTTCTGCGTGCTTTCCGAAGGAAGAGTGGATGCCATCTCCTGGAAGAAGGACGGTCGTCCTCTCCCCCCAGAAAGATGCTATAATCTCTATGAAAATGGTACCATGCTGCAGATGGAGAAAGGGGAGAGGGCGGACTGCGGCTCCTACTCCTGCAACGTCAGCAATGCAGTAAGCTGGAAGGAAGCAGAGCTGAACGTGGTGGTGATAGGTTAGTGTTGCTGCCTGGCACTTGATTTGCTTTGGGCATTTGCATGCCATACCAGGCCTAGGCTTCCTTCTCCCTGTGTGGGCAGCAAGCTTTTGCTGACAGAACATTGTCTCCAAGCCCCAGCCAGATACAACTGTCACTCCCGTGCATTCCCAAGCAGGAAAGACCTGGGAGTCTTCCCCAAAAGCTTCCCAGCACTTCCCAKTTTCCTGGGATGTCCAAAGCCTTTCTGTGTTTCTGAGCTGTCCCTGGTGGAGAGATTTCACTGTTCCCTTCATTGCAGGTCTGCCGCCCCTTCTCCACCATGCCCAGAGAATGGCTGTTTTTGCTCTGGTGTTTGCTGTAGGCTCTACTGTAGCCTTCATTGTCCTGCTCTGTCAGCCGGCGAAACTTGGTAAGCTTGGTTGTGTGTCAGGCCCGGGCCTTGGTTTGTAGAACCTAAGTTTCCCAAGCTAAACTCTTTTCTCTCCATGGAAGAGCAGGACGGGTGATGGCAGAAGGCCCTACCCAACCCTCTTCTGTCTACTTACTTGAGTGTGTGGCRCTTCAGTAGCGTGAAGAAATGTGCTCAACTCATATGGTCCTTCTTAGATCTCTGTAGCTTGCAAAGGAAATGAAACGTCTTAGAAATAGTTCACTCCATTGGCTTTTTAGAAGGTGGAGGCACTCAAAAACACTCTTTGAAGGACTGCTCCATGCCTGCTATATGTGACATGTACCATGTGGACTTTTTCCAATTGAAAGGCTTTGCAGAGGAAAAACCTTTCAGATTTTTATTGGAAATAGAAACTGGGGAACTGTGGTGTAAAGTCTGTCTTTCTAGATGGAATTGTTCAGAATGGAACAATCCRAAGTCTGGCTGGTTTCTCCTGGCTACTTTGAAATCAAGCAAAGCACTCTGAAGTTTACCAGGTTTTCTCTTTGCTTCTGTGTTTTAACTTGTTTTTAATATCGTAAGAATTAAATTCTGCATGAAAAATTTTGTGTTTGCCCTCCCCTTGCAAGCTGTGCCATTCCTGCTGCGTGTGTGGTTATGATATCTCACTCGGGTACAYTTGCCTTTTCCCCAGAAAAGAAAGTGAGCAGATGGATGACTGTGTTTATCCAAGTACTGGTGTGTGCCTCCTCTCTTCTCCTGCTTGTCACCTCTTCCATATGGATGCAGCAAGAAGGTAGGATCTCACTGTGAATAGTTCACTTAATGTGATTTGGGGTTTGGTGCTTTTRTTTCTTATTTTTGTTTTCAAGGTGACATCTTTAATCTAATGGTATTTGATTTAGAGAAACTGAAGTTAGAGCTCACTGCTTGGTCTCCAGACTCCTCCCTCTCTGCTCTTTTAAAACCTGAGTGCTGCATTGGTCTTTTTGCACTCTTCAAATACTGCCATCCCTTCTCCAGGACTCCTCAAAGACGTTTGAGTGACTGCTGCAAAAATGCATTTCAATCGAAAATTTTGGGTCAATTCTGCCTCCAACAGGTGTATCTGCTGCYTTCGTGCTGCTTTGGCTGTTCCTGTTTGCTACGATTTTAACTGCCCTCCTCACAGTCGCACTGGTGTGCAGACCAGCAGCTCTCATCCAATTCCACACCAAACCACGTGAGTTGCTGTTTAAGATCTAAACTCCTGTTAGAAAAGGCCTGTTAAAGAGTTTAAGAGTAAATTTGATGAGTTTTCACTCCCAGTGCTGGGAGAGACCAGGTGCATATCTGGAAGCACTGGCCATGGTTTGCTTACCTGCCCGCTAAGCTCATCTGCTCCAAGCGTGAGCCTGTATCCCTCACACGGTTCTGTCTCACCTCTCAGTCGTTTCCTCCTCTCCTAGGGCTTGATGTCACCTTAAAGGCTGCAACCACCACTACAGTTATCATCCTCCTCCTGTTCACCAGCCTTCTGCTCCAAAACTTCCAGCAGCTCCATGGTAAGGGGTGGCTCAGGTTTATACTGCCCTGTCCCTTGGTCGTCTTCATTATKGGGAGTGGTGGGACACGTGGAGGGGATTGGCAGGCAGATTAAGTTCAGGGCATGTATTTGAGGGGGATGTTGGCCAAAGGGCTGAACATTGAGCAGTTCTCACTTTCTGTCCTGCAGAGCGAGGCTGCTCGGAGTCCAACAGTCTGACACTCAGCTTCGTCCTGGCAACTGCAGTCGTCCTGCTTGCGATGGTGGCCTTCCTCCTGTGCAGTACGTGGGCCCATGGTTTCCTTCCACTGATTGCAGGATCATAATTGGCATCTCTGGCCCCCTCACCAGATGTTTGCTCTCAGCTGTCACCCCTTTCCTGCAAGGGATTTTGAGAAAAATGCTTTTAGTTCAAAAGAAAAGGCCAGRCTTTAAGCTGGCCTCCCTGCAGCCAGCTGTTCTTCACATATCTCTGGAARCGCGAGGTGATGACTAAAGTGACTGTTGTGGAAACCTCACTGGCAAGAGGAAAATAAAGGCTTCTCCTTTATTTGCAGATCATAAGAGAAAAAAAGAAGAGACAAAGGGAACACCTGCAGGTCATCCATGACACACAGGGCACGACAAACTTGGTAACACACTGCTGCTTTGCAAAACCGTTATTTAACTTATGTTAAACTTGTGATTAATAGGAGGCTGATGAGCAACAGGTTAAAAAAAAAGGTTGATTCAGCAGCTGCTCAGGCGCTGCTGGGAATATTTGTGAGCAAGTGCCCGCCTGCCTTCCTGCAGAGTGGCATGGGCCTTGTCCTCATCTTGGCAGCTTTCAGTGGGTGTGAAACTAGCTCGATGGTGACCAGACGTAGCAGTTCAGCCATGGGAMCTATAGGTTCAAGAGTCCAAGGAGCTTCCCTGGGCGTTGCTGCTAGCAGACAGCATTTGSTTCTCCCAAGCCCTGCAGTTTCAGCTGCCCATGTTGGTGCCATGAAGAGGTGACTGGAGGAACGTGCTGGTGTCCTGAGCATGCCAGGTCTTAGGCTRCTCTCCCCTGACAGATGCATTGTATGGTAATTTATTTTTCAGTTAAGAGTGGTATAAAGGTAGAGGGGCTAAAAACCTGGCGTTCTCCTACCGCAGCCAACCCAGAAAGAGCTCCACAGCGTTGGAAATGAGATGTGAAGGAACCTATCAGGGCTGTTAGCCATGAGCCCATGGCTAAATGATTGCACCTCTGCCCTTGCTTCATACCCACCTCCAGAAGCCTCCCTCCCACACAGCAGACTTGCTCCTGCAGCACCTGCCTCTGTTACGGGCTGCTTCCATCCTTTGGAGATGCAAGGCGGCTTTGGAGGATTACAGACACCTGAAAGGAGGTTGTAGTGAGGCAAGGGCCAGTGTGTTCTCCAAAACCACTGATAGGACAAGAGCAAATGGCCTCAAGTTGCACYGTGGAGGTTCAGGTTAGATATTAGGAAAAAAAATCTGCACAGAAAGAGTGGTCTAGCATTGGAACAGGCTGCCCAGGGAGTGGTAGAGTCACCATCCCTACACCATCTACAAGAAACATGTAGATGAGGCACTTAGGGACCTGGTCTAGTAGGYTTGGTGGTGATGGGAGTGTGGAAAGCATCTTGAGCAGCTGGTCCTGCGACTAGGTATGAGCCTGGTCCCTGTTCTTCAGCAACACTTGTGCGTGCACAGCCTCTGCTGRGTGATCACTCCCAGTAGTTACCCAGATCCCTATTACACCCTCAGAGGACACAACAGCATCTGTGTACGGCCAGAGGAGCAAGCGCTTGCCAAGGCAGCGCCCTGGCCAAGCATCCTGCTACCAGCAAGGGTAGCAAGGGCACATGCCCTGGGGCTGGGCACCTCCGGGGCTGTCACAGTGTCAACATGCAGGTTCATTGCCGTGTGCTTTCTTAGCAGGTGCACAGAGAGCCTCRAGAAGCCAATCGGGAAGAGAACTAAGGAGTCAGCCCCCCCGACTGCTGCAAGGCTCTGCTCGCACGCTGTGGGCGCAGGAAGGAGCTGGAAAGGCCTCCGTTGTGACGAGGCAAGCGTAAGCTGCCCTTGTGGGCTAGCACCAACCAGCCAGTGATTTTTGCAAGAGCACGCAGCAGAATGCTCTGAAAAATGCTGCTTTTCTGCCCTGCTTCCCTTCTGTGCCTTTGAGGGATGCAGCCCTCTCCTTAAAACGAAGCAAGGATCAGGCTGGTAGTCCTTGGGGGCAGCTGCTCTTGCTGCTGCTGGTGAAGACCGGCAGCCTTGCAAGCCCCCCTGATTTGTGCCTTCTGTCCCTGATCCCAGCAGCAGAGCGGGCTCGTGCCCTCCGCCATGAGTAACTGCCCTTTGGGGAGGGTGACAGGGCAGGAGAGCAGCCCCAGGCCACACTGCCCTTAGGTCATTTCCAGCCCTGTGCCTCTTCCCTGACTCACCGCGTGGCCTTCCGTGCTTTGAGTTTTAGTGTTTTAGCTGGTGTTGAAGCGCCTCTCAGCAATACTTGTGTGGGAGGTCTGCTTGGAAACGTGTTCCTGTGTAAAAGCTGAGAAATAGCCTGTTCTTTTCCTCATTGCAGCTGCTCTAATAAATGTATTTAACTTGSGGACGTCCATTTGTGAACCCGTCCTGCTTGCAAACGTGGGAGGGGGCTCTGCCCTAGTCAGCAAAGCATTTTTACCTGTTGATCTAGGGTTGTTCCCGTCCAGGCAAAGCTGACCAGCTCTCGTGAGGGTTTCTAGCCCAGGTTTGTATTTCTGGCTCTGCTGCAGTTCCCACTTCCCCCTAAGCAGTGGGTGCAGTGGGCAAAGCTGGGCCCTGCAGATGTGCACCAGGCTGGCCCTGGTCCCCCTTTGCATTCAGGGTGCAGGGAATTGCTCTGCAGCACCAGTAGCGTGGTATGGACAGAGGTGCTAGGGCATTGCAAAGGCCCAGGGCTGAGCTGAGATGGGAATCCTGAAGCAGTGGGTGCATGCAGCTCACAGAAAGCCATTCGGAGCATTCAAGGCCAATTAATGTCCTCAGGACAATGCAAGCGGCAAGGAAACGTCCCCTCCTAGTTCCTTCCCATTCCAGGCACAGCCCAGGACCATCCCACACGGCCACACACCCACCAAGGAGAAGAGCAAGAGCAGGAGCTCAGCACACACAAGGGCAGACTGAAGCGAAGTCCCCACCAGGCTCCCAGAGAACAGAACTGGGCCCTGGGTGGCATTTAGGCCTCAGGAAGCTCAGCTCAGAGATGCTGCTAAAAGGAGTCATGAACCTGCGAAAACCTGTATGACATCTCCCATGAGCTGCTCCACCACCTGGGTGAAAATGAAATGCAGGTGAGGCACAGCTTGGTATTGGAGATTTAAAGTGATGCTCTGGATTCCTGCAAATCCATGCACTTGCTAAAGAAAAGCACAGGGACGTGCTTTTCTTTAGCAAGTGCATGGATTTGCAGGAATCCAGAGCACGGCTGAGCTGCCTGTGCTGCTCCGGGTCCGCATGCAACGCAGAAGCGCGGTCCCAGGCCCCTCATGGCTCCTGAGGAGCAGGGCTTAAACGCTTCCCAGCTTGCAGCACCGGCATGTTTTCCAAGAGCAAGTGCTCCGGGACGGAGAGCACCCTTCCTTCCTGCTCTTCGCRCGCACCACCCGCTGCAGCAGCGTGAGCTGCAAGACCACGAGGCCACCCCTGCGCCAGACCCCTGGCTGCCCTTGGCCTCCTCCTCTTCYCCAGATCCCCAGGGGAGCTCATTGGAGCGGGATAAGGTTTGTTGCAGTGAGCTGAGCCCTCGGTCGGCCAGGATTTGAGGCCAGCTGGAGAAGACAGAGCAACTTATAGCAGCCTGAGGTTTTCAGTGGGAATCTGCAGGATTCTCAGGCTGCTTCCCTCTCCTGGGAACAGGCAGAGGGTGCAGCTTTCAGAGCTTGACCTACAGAGAAATAGCATGGTGCTCYGCAGTTCAGGAGTCAAGGTTGGAGGTTTCTGCTCTCTTCCATGGCTTGGCCTTCAGCCTGTTAACTCTTTCTCAAGAGAAAAGGAAGCAGCAGCTGCAAAAAAAATAAAATAYAGCCTGTTACTGTTGCACAAATTGCCCTTGCAACACGGGCCTTTTAGCAAACTGCCTTTTTGCCATGCAAAGTGGCTGTGGGTTTGCCTGGCAAATTGGCATGTCCAGGGGTGAAGATATGAAAATCAGGAAATAGGAGGGACACGTTGCTGCTGCGCGACATGGACACATGGGGATGGGAGGAGAGCTGGTTTTCCTGCTGAATTCCTGGCTGCTCCCACATTGCTCAGAAACCTTCTAATGACTAATTTCAGGCAATAAAGCACCTGGCAACTGCAGCTTTTTATTTACTCGAGTATCCTTTTTATTAGCTACCCAAAATCTATTCTTTCTACCAAAAGGTCCTCCCAATCTATCCATTACAACATATAAAGGTTTTTCCTTTGAATAGAAGTGTTTCCGATTACAAACACAGTATGTGCAAGCACTCAAAGGCTACTAGGTAAAACTCCCAAGGCTAAAACCTTCCCTAAAACTTATTCACAGCAGGAATCCCACAGTGGCATCTCATCCCAGTAAGCTGATTGCCTCCAAGGAGCCTCACCTGCCCACAGCTTTGGAGTTGGGATTGGCCATCTGTGACAGGGAGGACAGTGGTGGCCAAGTCCAGGTTGCCCCTGGAGCTGGAGAYCTTCAAGGCTTCAGGGCAGAGCCAGGCTGCAGGTAGGATAAGTGGCATCAAAGATAGCAGAGAAAGGAACAACTCCACTGCCCATACATCCCTGAGACAAAAATGACAAAATGGGAAAAAACAAACAAACTAAACCTTTCCAGGGTCTCTTTTCTGAGCAGAGCTTGAGAGGGGATGTGCTCAGCCCTAGCACCCGCTACCGCCAGCCTCCCCGAGGCCCCGGGAACACGCTCTGATTCTGCCCGTGGCATCACAGTCCGAGACAACTCCTACARCCTGTGAGTAATAATAAATGTCAAAAATAAATGCAGAATGTCAGCACAGCAGCGTGGGACAGCGCCCCRTAGCTGTTGTGCAGCAGAATAACCCAAGCATCTTGCCAGGAACTGCTTCATGTCCCCAGATGGCCAAGCCCGCGTTTCCTTTACCGCGTTATTTACATTGCATTTCTTTTTCTTCCCTCTGCAGGTCACGACAGGGCACTTTTTTCTTCTTGAAAATTGGRGAAGATGGACAGTCCTTGCAGCTGTTTCAAGGCGGAGGGGGAAACACAAGCAAGCACAAAACCAGAAGGCTGGTAGGGATGTATGATGTGCTCCTGGGCTTGTGCAGCCTACGCTCAGCCTGCTACAGCTCTTGCACAAAGTTGATGGATGCTSTGCAAAAAAGCTCGTGTGTCATTGCTTCCCAACACAGCTGGGATCTGTGGTGATCTGTGCAAGCGAGAAGGTTGGATAGCTGCAGAAAGAGGCGTCTGTGGACAGCACTTTGTTGCATACACAAAGTCCAGGGCAACACTGACCTATGGCACCAGGAGCGAGCAAGAGGAGACTGAAGTGTTTTCCATCCACAAGTGTGTGCACGAGGTCAAAATAGGCAGCGGGACAACGGTCCTGATGGATCAGTGAAATAGCCACGGWGCAATGCCCTTGCTCTCCTCATTCACACAACTTTGTGCCAGGAAAGTGCCCACGCCTGCGCTGTCCTCAGGCCGCGCCACACTTCATGTGTGCCAGGGCGCAGTGACTCAGGGAGCAGGTTAAATATATCCCCATCCACACTTGCAGCAAGGTTATTTTCTGCCGGCAGATCAGTTCCCAACGCCAGGCCCCTCGCAGAAGGAGCGAGGCTGCCCAAACAAGGGAAGGGAGGCCAAGAACAGGAGCGTCGCGCAGAGCGGGCACCAGCCCGGGCACCCTGCAACGGGCWGCAAAGCAAAGGACAGCTGACAAACTCAGGACTACAGCTCCTCACAAATCCCTGCACCTCAGTCAACTTTTTCTTACAKACGGTATGGAGAAACAAATCAGGCCTTTTCAAAGTTAAAGGCAGAGAGAAAAGCAATATAAAGTTTATAATCAACCATCCCTACCTGCTGCTACAGGTGTCCCTGCTCTCAGGTACGCATCCCTCATCCCCAGCCTGCTGCAGCTTCTGCAGGCTTTAAATACCAGAATGTGCTTTATTTCTCTTAAGATCAAAACAATATACACTGGAATAACATATGCACTTTTATTAGTAGTAAAAGTCTTAAAAAAAACCCCACAACTTATCTAAAATAATTTTCAGACAACTCTCAGGAAAGTTAAAAAAATATATTTTGTCAAACACTTGGCTGTATTTATTTGCAAGTAAAACATGTAACAATCCATCTTACAGCTTAAAACCAAATTTGGTTTAATCCATGCAACCTACTCCCYTTCCTTTAATAATTTAATCCTAATGTAATTCCAGGCTGAGAGATGGCTCTCTGTAGCCAGCCCCTTTCATCTATTTGTCATGTCCCTGGGGCTGATGCACACAGGATTCAACTCTGTCTCTTTTCAGGCTACTGCACTGGACTAGCATCAAAGTATGTAGAGCCCAAGGAAGTCAAGTCTGGAGTTATTCTCTCRCAGAGCAAAAAGCACAATGAGACGAGAATTCTTCAGCAACAACCAACCAAATAAATTCCAGCTTTTTTTTTTTCCAAACCAGCTTCATAGAAGTTTTGCGCAYGTCAGTTTTAACTTGCATTTTCAAGGATTCTCCTAGGAACAGTCAACAGGCCAACTCGTCTCCAAAGAGAAAACAAAATTCGGAGAAGAAAACAAAACTCGGCGCTCCCAGGTCGCTGGGAATGTGCTTTTCTGTGAGCGAGCTACGGTCTACAGGTAAAACACAAATCCCAGTAAAATCTATCCTCACCTCTCTCCMCGTGCTCACTGCTTCACTGTTTTCCTTGGACAATGCTAAATAGTCAGAAATCCCTTTCAAAATCCTACTCTAACAACAAGGAAACAAAAAACACCTACRTGAACAAAAACACCAAAGAAAGCGCAGCTCAACTCTCCCATCTCCTTCCTTGCAGCAGATGAACGTGACAAGGCCAGGAGGATTCTGCTTTCTTGTCTAGAGGCTACATTGAGGTATTTCTCTGCTGGGGAAGCTCCTTTCCTCTCGCTACGTAGATCTGAACTCTGTCTCTGAAGGAGCAAGAGAAACTACCCACACGAAGATCAGGGTGGTGCAGTGAGCCCAGGGCAGGGTCTGGAGGCCACCTGGAAGGACCTATTCTCCGTTTGCCTGCAGGCCAACAAGGAAGAGGTCCTCAAGCCACCAGCTGCCCCACTCCAGGAGATAAGTGATCTTGTGGTAGCTCAACTAGTCAGCACAGCCAACGGCACCGAGGGCCTGGGGAACAGCTCCGAGAGGGAACCAGGCTCGGCGGGACTCCCTGTCAGAACCAAGGACGGTGCCAACTCCCCAGCCCGACACTCACAAAGGCACTTGGCCAGACCTAGTGCTCCCAGGAAAGCATCCAGTTCTCTCCAGGGTGAAGATGTCCGTGCTGAGAGGTTATGCCCCCAACTAAGTAATTTTAGTTATAACAATTGTTTTTACAAGAAAAGCCCCACAGAAGGTGCCTGGAGAAGGGGCATGGACCAAGGTTTGGGGCTGGAAAGGAGGGCTGCCCCAGCCATATCAAATCAGATCACAACCATCATGTCCTGCGTGAGCAACGAAAAGGAGAATGTCTTTGGCGTTTGTTTTTCAAAACAAAACCACGTTGCATACCCTACACATTAACACGACAGCCTGCCATCTCCTGTGGACCCAAACTGGCTCCACTCATCTCCTAGGTCTTCCAGCGACAGCAAAACCCTGCCTCTTCTCCTCTCCAAGGCCAAACACAAAATAAGCTCCATGGTCTCACCCCCGAAGACACCTCAGCAAGTCCCTAAGTGCCCCCAAACAGCAGCACACTAGGACATATTGAAGCCACAGTGAGGCAGCTCAAGTCCCCTTGAGTCTCCTGTCAGGGATAGCAGAGCACCAGGGAACACTTCCCAGCAGCTTCCAGAGCCACGTGTTTGTCCAGCTGGGATCCTCCATCTATCCACAACCATCAGCCCTTCTTCCAAGTGTCCTYGCAGCCTCTGGAGAAAGCCATGCTCCAACTGCCCCAAAGAGGTGCAAGGAGCCTTGGGAAGAATAGGACCATGCAGGYAGAATCCAAGCCAGTCCAGTAAAACAAGTCCTGCAAATATCGGTGGGTTTTAGCAGCTTGAACAATTAATAAGCAAGCCCAAAAGGGACTGGGACAGCATGAGACCACTGYGCATGTTGGCAGGTGTCCAGTGCTCCCTGGGCATCATCCATCACCTACACGAGAGGAACGGAGCAAGGTGCAGTCCTCAGGCCTTCCACCTGCAACAAGAGMGGAGAGTCTTCCATAGAGCATTAAGTCAGGTTCCACTCCCACCCTCTGCTACGTGGACACCACCCATCACTCACAGGCAACATGCTGCCTGGTAGAGGCCTCAGGAAGATGCTGCTCTGCTCTAGAAGGATACTGCAGACTCTCTGGTACTTCTGCTTACCGCCTGGACTTCTACTCTACTCGGCCTCCTGCTCAGTGTCAGAGAAATGGCATAAACAGCAAAGGGCAGAAGCATGAACTGTAGCTACACTTACAGCTCTCCTCGGGCCACTGTGCCTGGATTCCACATGGGTGGTCACACACGGCACCTGCAGTCAGCCTGGAGCTCGCCTTGGTTGAAAGGGCTGCTGGAGACTCKTGAGACATGAGGGCTCTCTTCCTATAGACCCACCAGCCTTCTGCAGGGCCAGAGCCCATCGCCTTGCCCTTTGGGGCCCCTGAACCCCACTTACAAAGCACACTGTAAGGTGTGTCAGTAAAGAGATCTGTGCATGAGGTGGCATCCTTAGCAAAATGGAAAAGCTGAGAGGTTTTATGCTACGTGGAAAATGGGAGCTCCTCAACTGCTTCCCTTGTCTGTGGAAGGGCCTGTCCCCTCAGCAGTGACTGCCACTAACTGTATCCTCTGGCTCTTTCCTCACAGTTTTGTGGATCTGCRGCTATGGACACAGGTTAGCCAAGGATCCCGTCACTTTTGTCAAGATTATTCAGTTACAGCCAAGGCAGACCTTGGCTTGTAGCTAGCAATGGAGAAGCAGCACCATCCCCAGGTCCCAGGCATGGCAAAAGGGGTTCAAGGCATCTTACCTACGGACACAGCGATAAAAGCGTCCCCTCCTCCTACACCACAGGAAAACACCTGGGAAGAAACCACTCGTTGGCTCCATCAGACACTCCAGAGACGGCTGCCAGACACCGCTGCCCAAAAGAAGCAGCAGCAGGGACCTCTTCTTCTTAAGTAGCAACAGTCAACCAGGAAGCTTCAAGCAAGGAGCTGGGGACTGTCAACACTCCCTGGCACAGGGTCACTGCCTGCAGGAAGCTGGTTGGTGTTTGGTCTTGAGGAACCCCGTGCTCATGTCTACAGAGAGCAGCAGAAATCTGCTCGGCCCTGGTCTTGAGCTGGTATCTACCCCTGCGAAAGGCCAGGGAACGCAGCCAGACACCAATTTTGGCCATGTGTGAGCAGGTGTGAGGGGGCTGCTGGGGGAAGATGGGAGCAGAAGCACCCAGGGCAGCTTTCCCAGCACCTACACAATATTTGGGGTGATTACAAAGAAAAAAAAAACTGAAAATTTAATCCAAGAGTAAAAAAGAAATACGAATCAGCTACAGAGAACTTCCTACTTCTATTTTAAACCTGGGGAATCTTTTCTCTGGTCCTGACTAGTGCCTCTCACTTTTTTTTTCCCAAGTTTGCTGTTGGAAATCTGAGAAACTTTACTGGGGCCTGGAGACAGGCTGGAAAAAAGTGCTCTCCAGCTCCAAAAAAAGGAAGGAAATGAGGCCCACTGAGTCAGGAAGCATGTTTCCCTTCTGCGGGCTTCAGACAGACCTCACTGAGGGGCCTAACCTGCTTTTACCCTAAAAGGGTAAAATGTGGGACATTTCATCAGTCGGACAGGATCCAAGGGACCTCAGAGGCAGTTTTGTCCAGATAAGGATGGCAGAATACAGTAACCAGCCTGTTCTGACATGCGGGAGAGTTTCTCTCCTTATGTGCCCGGAGCAGGGAGGCAAAGGAAAGAAATGGAGGGTGTGAAACCATGGGAACAAAGTTATTTGTTTCCAGAGAAAAAACAGAGGGCACAGAAAGGTTTTTCACTAGAACAGCTCTACCTTTCTGCAGCATGTCCAATACAGGGGCAGTGGCCAGCCAGGGGGGCCACCATGAGCCAAGACACCCCTGCTCCACCTTCACTCATCCCTTCTTGAGTGACAATGCCATAAGCCAAAAACCAAGGTAAAGGGTGAATCACACCACTCACCTATCAGAAAGCCAACAATAACACATGCCATCATCACAGGTAAAACCACGTTTGCATCATCTGTAAAAGAGACAATTCGTGGTCTTTGGAGCGAGATTGAATTTAYTCCCTATCCACCCCCTTCAAGCAAAAACCTGCCACTGGGCAGCTACGCCCAGAGCAAAGAAACACACGGAACATGGGGTGGCCTTCCCAAGTCCCGTGATTCCCACCATTCATTTCCACTAATGCTGGAAGCTGAGGGTTGTGTTTGGGGAGGGGGAGACACAGCAGGCTTGTGGAGGAGAAAGCTGTGACACGCTTCTCAACAGAAGTGACCTTTCTCTTTTCAGGGGGAATGCCTTAGATTTGACATGGCCACCCAGACCTGGGCTGGTCACTTGGTTGTCTCCTGGATTTCCCTTTTGATAGCAGGAGGAAGCACCCACTTACGCTGAACATGAAGCAGGAAGGAGGCTTCATTCTCGCTCACTTTGTTGCGGACCACGCAAGTGTAGTAGCCGCTGTCGTTCATCGTCACTTCGATGATGTGCAACGTGTTGTTATGAACAAACTGGATATGGTCACTTGCAATCATCAGCACCCCRTTCTTCCTCCACCAGTAGGAGTCCGCAATGCCTTCTGAGATGTTGCAGACCAGTTTAGCGTCGTCACCTGCTCTCACCGAGCTGTTGCCCATGATTTCTGGCACAGGCAGTGGTTCTGCAAGACATGGAACAACTGTCACCTTTCATCTGCTCCATTCCTTGATGGCAGAACTAGAGCACCTTCCTACTCGAGGAACTCAAGAAATTGCTTCATAGAGTCTGCCAGCCTAGAGCTACTTCTAACTGATGTGAATGTCCCTAAGTTCAAGAAGAGCTATGGGGCTCTGCACAGGCCCAAGCATTTCCATGAACTTCATCCTGTGCATCTGCATTAGCTCAAATCGGCTGAAGGGCACTTCCATGACAGACCCAGCAACATCTCCATCGATGTCCTGTGCACCCCACCCCACAAGACTGGCGAGCAGGCAAAACGTCCCCTCCTCTGCACAGGGCATCTGAACCATCTCCCCTCGGTGTCCGAGCCTGCGAGGCAGCTCACGTGCTAGCGAGACATGGAAACACCCAGGTGTAGTGGAAAACATCAGCGGATTTGAAAGACAGTTGTGGGGGATATTTGAGATTCTGTGTAAAAGTGTATTCAGATCAGAGTCCACCTGCACTTCCAGGACTCCCTTCCCTACTCCACAGCCTGYTGGACTACAGTAAAAACTGAGAGCAGAGAGAAAGCTGATGTCTGACTGTCCCTTCAGTCTCATCTGACCTCTGTCCAGCCCACAGGGCCCAAAGCAAGCCTCTAACATCACAGCTCTTGGGTAGTGCCTGCACGTAGCTCCCTTCATTCCCCRGAGCTGCACCTCACTTCAGTTTAAGGCCTGCGCCTTAAAACTTTTCCAAATTTCAAACTATATTTCCTCAGAGCATCTCACAGATCCTTCTGCCTCTTCCCGTGACTGACAGCACGCACGCCGCCCCAAACCTTGGTGGAGCTAACCTGAAGGCAAGGCAGCGGGGCCACCACCCCAGCCCTCGCGGCCACTCACCGATGACCTCCACGTGGAGCCAGTCGGTCTCCTGCGAGGCCGTGCGGAAGCGGTACGCRCCGCTGTCCTCCCGCCGCAGCACCATGCGCAGCGAGAAGTCGCTCTCGTTGAACCGCGTGCGGTTCCTGTAGGCCGAGGCCGTGTTCACGGGCTTGCTGAGGTAGTAGCTCAGGATGACCTCGTGGCGGGCGCCCGCCTTGCGCTCCCAGAACACGATGGTGCTGGCGTTGAGCGCCGGCGCCGCCAGCAGCACCACGCAGCCCACGGCCGACACGAGCCGCGCCGACGTGGGGCTGAGGCTCGCCGAGTAGCAGGGCGAAAGCGTTTGCGCTGCCGGAGGAAATGCAAGTTGCTCAGTTAGAGCGTTTATAGATAGGACTAGGAGCACGCCGGGGGTATTCCAGCGGTATCCCGGCTCAGCTCGCACACGAGCAGCGCGGGACGCACGCGGGTATTTCTGGGCCGGGCTGTGGCACAGCTTTACACGGCYCCACAGGGGAGTAGTCTCCAGTTGACTGCGGATCCCCTTCGCGTCCCGGGCCCGACAAACTCGGCTGCTTCCCCCCGCAGCGAGCAGGCGGGGAGCCCCCGCGCTGCTCCAAGCGCCCGCAGCCCACAGCCTCGCGCTCCCCTCCGCCACTCCCGCCGCTCCGAGACGCCTTTGGGCGCGGCGGGTCCCGGGCCGCGGGTGCGGGTCCCGGGCCGCGGGTGCGGGTCCGCGGCGGCGCCACTTGCCTGTGATGGCGCTGCGGGCTCCGGCCGCGCCGGCCCCGCACAGCAGCAGCAGCAGCAGCAACGGG